TAACTGGTGTTGAATACAGAGCTACGGATACCGAGGTTTTGCAGTACTAAGTATTACGGAGCTGAATGACAAATGCAGAACAGCGGCTGGGCTGGGAAGCTCAACACATAGTTAGGAAGTAACAGCACACGCAAGGCTGACAAAAATTACATTTGCAGGTAAGGGGAGTGGAAATTTATATTTATTGGGGAAAAAAAAAAAAGGCAAAACATTGTTCGTGTTATTAAAGGCGGCGTGAGAGATAGCAAGAGCAACGCAGAGAGGCAATCAGGAATTCATCTCAAGCTCTAACGTGCAATTTCGCTATGGAGCTTCAGGACAAAACAGAGGATTATGCCCAATTGTTTTGAGGGTTTGGATAACAAAGCATAAAAATCCCAGTAAGTAGCCTTTTGTGCCAATGCAGACCAGGAAAAGATTTCTATTAGTAAAAGTTACAAAAACATCCAAAACCTGAACTGCAATAAATATTGAGTTAACTACCTAACACAAAAAAATGTCGCTTTAGTCTCAGAGGTATCTGCACTGTTACGGACCGTCTCGCAGGAAAACTGGTACAGCTCATCAAGTTTGCCAAAGCAATGCTAAGCTGCATGAATACGCCACACCTTCTTATTTTACCTTTTCTGGCAATAGAATTTTCCAATGGAAAGCCATTAGTGCTGCGGGAGTATGGAAATTAGGACAACTAAATTCGTCCTATTATGAATGTTAAGTAGGCTGTTATGATTGTCCTCTGTTTAGTTAATATGGTGCTGTAGAGCTAAACAGTGAGTCCTTTCCAAACAAAAAAAGAATAGATCTTTAGAAATGGTAAAATGTGTTATTTATTCTGGTCATACCTGCTCATAGCAGGTATGTTTTAGAATAGATTTAGCTTTTTAAAATATTAATACTTCCTGATTTTTAGTTTTCCAAAGTAACAAACCCAGGTATGTGACATACGTGATTAGCCACAATGGCTGGTATTTAGGGCCGAAAAACCCCATCCAGATCTGCTGAGTGGTAAACTCGAGGTTGGTAAAACTCTCCTTGTTTTGGAGAACCCTTATCATAAAACACTTAAACACTGTTCAGCACTGAATTAACAACCCAAAAGATGGGAAGACGCAGGAGAGCTCACCTCTGCCCCAGCGGGGTTTTGCTGAGCCGCTGTGGATCCACGGGGAGTTGAGGTTTAGTTTTACCACGTGGGGGTTCATCACCTCACTTGGTACGTCGGCATCAAGCTGCGCGTGGGGACAGCATCGTCCCGGCTTTGCCTGAGCCAACAACCCTGCTGGAGCACGACCCGCTGTGGGCAAAGCCAGCCCGCCTGCCTACCCAGCCACGCCAGTCCGGGACCCCGATAAACCATCGCAGCCAGCCCTTCTGCTTCCGAATGTACACATAACCATCACAGCTGCTTCTTCAGCTCCGGGAATAACACCACGCTCATGAGTTTCTACGTACAATCACGTCTCACTTGAAAATTAGCACAATTTCCATGGGTTTTTTTATATATATAGTCCAACACTTGTGATTAAAAACCATATATAGTCTTGAAAACCAATACAAATGACTTCTTTCATCTATCCACTAGTTCTTTACAGATCTGACTCAAACGTCCCTGTTTTAGCTGAGCAGCTATTAAAGCGCGTGGTGCAGAGTGCCAGCATGCAGCATAACCCCGGGTCCTCAGCACCTAATCCTGCTACATCCCGTTCCCATCAGCAGGCTACAAGGATGTGTTAACGTCAGCTCAAGATTTTCCCCACCAAGGGCAACACGACTAGCTTGATTTTGAGGGTGGAGATGCCTGGGCAAGATGCTCGGCAAGGTGCCGGGAGCCAGAGGTACCAGGAATGAAACCAGGACCAGAGAGATCCCAGCGGCGTGTGGAGAACTGAAGAAACAACCTGGATAAAGAAGTGGATCAGGCTGATGGATACGAGGGAACTGCAGGAAAACAATAACTGACTGTGACAGAGTCTGAAACAAGCTCAGCTTTTTTATCTTTTCTTATTTCCATTCCCCCCCCCCAAGTCAAGAGCCTACATTTTCATTCAAGGAGGCTTTTGATTCTGCCAGAAAATGTCTTCACATGGAGCATCTTCTGTTTCACCTGGCATACATCCCTAGCACAGCCATTCCCGTTGCCGATAGATCTGAGGAGTATTTCTGCTTTACAATATCAGCCTTGCTCAAGTTTTGAGCCCTGCTTAAGCCTCAGGTTGAAGCTGAGAAGATGGTGATTCACTGACAGAGCCTTGTCTCTCCCAGGGACACCCACGCTTGTACCAGCCCATCTCCTGCTCTCCCTTTAAACAGAATAAAAGCCTGGGCCCCTGACCACAGGACCCCAGTACAAAATGACAATTTGCCTGGTGTCTGCCATGTCCTCCCATTCTCTTTATCTACTCGCATGACCTTTTTTTTTTTCCCCTGACTCAGAAATACTGCAACACCAAAGGCAGAGATGGCACTACATCAAAGAACCTAAGTTATAAGGGAAGCAGTTTTATTTTCACTTCTTCAGAGGTGGTTTTTTTTAAGTAAGACTTCAAAATACCTTAAAAAAAGTAACAGTGATGATAATGGGACTGAAAAATTCGATGGCATCTGAATAAAATAATTCAAACACAAGTCTCAGCGGATAAGATAACCCACACCGCAGCAGTTCCCAGGGAACCGACTATAATGACATTCAGGTTATACATCTCATCCGGGCTGCGTTTCTGAAGGAGATGTGAATTAGCAGCCCTGTGACAATAAAGAAACGTGGGATTAAGAAATGAGAGAGGAAGGAAAAGGGCCGGTCGATTCTCCTACCGCCTTTTCTTGTTCCTGAAATTTCTGTTGCCTGGAAATGGCTGATGAGAAGATGGGATTATGGAAGCGCTTGCCAACTTTTCACACGTTAAGAAAACTAAAGCCTGAGTGATGGGTAGCTTAACCCATCTTCTAAGCAGTGAACTAAAACATGTTTACTAAGGAGAACTCAAACAGTGAAACCCCTTTAAAAAATCCAGGAGTGACGAGGACTTGACAATTCGCAGGATTAAAAAGCTGCATACATTACAGACAATGTAATCTCCTTATAGTAAGATGAGGAAAAGGAAAATAAAGACTTTTTGGTGTGCAAGATGGTTTTTGTTTTAAACTATATACATCCTGTCTGATTGAAGACTTTCTTGCATTATTGTCTTTTTTTTTTCTCTCCCGATAGATATGACAGAGAGCTATACCAGCCCTCCAACCCCATATTAAGTTATATTTTCCAACAGACTCACTGCTCCCATCAAACATGACCCCTCAATAATAAAATAATAAGCACTGTGCTGTAGAAATGTCTCTTCCTAAATTTAATCAGGCTAACAGGTGCTACAAGAAAGCAGGCACTAACAAAAGTACAAAATATCTCTATCTAGTTTTGAACACAACTTCAGCGACTTCTGCTGTGTCACCTCAGCAGACCTAAGCTTTCCTGAACTCTTCCTTGTTGTCACTCAAGTGGCATGTTACCATCTAAATACTCTAATTTAAATACAGCTGAAGGCTAGTTTAAAATTTAACCTGCTAGACTTTTTCCATTTTTTAATCAAAAAAAACTGAGGACTGTGCTCATTTTTCCTTTTTCTCTGTTTACCAACAAAGCACTGGGGGTCTCTAAAATGAGCAAAAAATTCTTGCAGTCACACTTCTTCCAGTTCAAAACAAACACGCTTACGTTGGTGATAATGCTGAATGCACTGCAGATGCTGCTAATAAAGGTGATATTCTCAGCACTGTTTCTGAGGCACTAAAAAAAAAACCAAAATCCTGCTGCAAGCTGAAGTTGCGCTGTCCACCGGAGCATCAGCAATGAAAAATTGCAGGCGGCAAATACCTAATCTGGAGACCGAAGCAGAAATCGTGTTGCATGCTGCTCAACCACTGCTTGAGCAACGAGGTTAAGACAGCAAAATAAACTCTTCTGTTTACTACAGGAAGGCATGTGTAGTTTTGTAACGCAAACATGGGTGTCTAGAAGAGGGAAATAAAGTACCCAGGTTGCCTGGAGTTCATTTACATCTTCATTAAGGACAAATTCCCAAACAGTGGGTTTTTGTACAGCTGCCCAATGATGGCAATAGGCAAATCCTCAGCTGGTGATAATGGTTATGGCTCCACTGAAATCTGCTGATGATGTTCCCCCTTCGGTCTTACTGATGGAGGGGAAAAAAACCCAATATTATGTGAAGAAAAGCTGCAATGAATGAGTGGAACCAGATGTGAAATTTTGCACCCAACTGTTATAATTGTGGGGCGTCTTCAAAAAGTTAAACTGGGCAAAGCCCCAGCCAGCCAATTACAAAATCAACATTCCTTCAGCTTCAGAAGAGAAGAAATGACTTCTCAGAAATGCCAGAAGTGACTCAACTGTGATTTTTAAGCTGTTCCACCAGCATCCTAGTTACTTCAAGTAGTACTAAGGGTTTACCTGAGATTTCCTTCCTGCAAGTGGAACTACGAGCCAGCAAGGTGCTCAAATCAGGGAAAAAGAAACACACACAAAACGATTCTTGCGACTGCTGTGTTATGAATGTATTGCTTTTTCTATTCCAAACTGCCTTCCTTGTGAATTTTAAAATATGTAAAACCAGGAAGCACAGAGCAAATAATATCTACATAAGTAGGTCATTTTCTTAATGGCAGTGCACTGCTGGTTTACTCCCAACTCGTTTGCAATATAGACACATACATTTCAAAGCATGTATATTCAGATCTGCAAAGGAGGTGAGCGAGTATAATCATGGAAGCACTCACTCCGAGATCAAGTAGAGCCTAATTCAGAAAGACAGGCAGGAAAAAGTCATATTTTGCACCTTCTATGCGAGCTTCGCAGAGAGTTAGGACATTTTCGAGAAAATCCTCTCGCCGCGTGTAAGCTGTAGCTTGAATGTGCTGCACGTTGCATATTTCATTACAAAAGCAGAGCCACGTTATTTCATTAGATAAGTGATAAGTTCAATCCTTACCAAGTTTTCTTGGTTCCTGGCTGCTATTTTCTGATCATCTTCTCCCCCATTTTTCATGTATTTGACCTCTTCCACTGGTTTGATCCTATACTCATCTGAGCACCAAGGGAAAAAAAAAAAAAAAAAGAAAAAAAAAATTTGAACCAGTGTAGTTCAGCAGCTGGGAAAAAAACCAAACTAAAACCAAAACAGCTGACTGGAAAAGACCCTAATTAAGCAAAGCAACTAAAAATTACATGTATATAGTTTCAAAGGCTTAAATGTGACTGATACCAAGGAAGTTTTTCCTGACTGAAGCTTCAGTAAGAATTTCCAGGTCTGGCTTCCAGAAATTGTTCAGTAGCTCTCTGGTCTAATATAGCCACGGCACCACGAACAGGGGATGTTCGGTATGTTCTCTCCTCCAAATCCCTAGTTTTCTGCATATGTTCAATACAAATAAGTTCTTAGCTCCCGCATCCTCCCTGGATTTTCATTATAAGTGGGCAAACAAGTGATGTACAGCAGTTACCAGAGAGAGGAGTCTGCTCGTGGATGTTCCTTGCATTGAAAAAACCTCTTTTGAAAAGCAATGCTGATGGAGGATATTTAAAATTTAAGTTAGAAGCTGGGGAAAAAAAAACCCCACACCAAAAACCAATGCCTTTTTTTTTTTTTTTTAAATTTTGTTTTTCCTGCACTGTTTTAATGGAGCTAAAGCAAAAGGTACACAATGCACAGTCGTCATAATGATTTCTGGAGAAAAGGCCCCATGCTGACCGTCTTCCTCTCCCCACTCCCCCACCACGACCATTTTTCCTGCACGTGAATGTTACCCAGATAGAAATCCAGTGTAAAAATAAGTAATAAGACAAGTAAGATTCCTGTTTGCCCTTAATATTTATCAGCTAGGCCTTTCGGCTCTTCAAATAATAAATTCCCAGCTCCAGTGCCAGCATGGGAATATTATCTAACATACATGTGCTATCCCACAGTAAACAGCTTCACCCAAAGCTTGAATAAAGGGATTTTTTTCTTTGGTAGGACAAGATGGGATTTTGGGAAAAGTGATTCTTCTCTCCAGCCTGCGAATGCAGTGCTTGCAGTACCAGCACTGCCTTTACTCAGCCACTTTTTCCTCTGGTTTTCTTTGTAGCTTGTGAATCTATCGGAAAAACACCCAGAGTTTTGCACCCACACTCTTCCAGTCAGGATATATAGCGCAGAAGAGAAGCTTTCCCCCACCTAAGTGGAAAATGTTAATACAAAATGAAATGAGACACAGTACCCTGGGAATAAAAGGCAAAACCTTGGCAAATTAAAAGAAACCGCACAAACTTTATTCTTTTTCTTTGGGTTTTCAAGCAATTTATCTCATTTGCTAAGGGAAAAACAAAACACAAATGGATTTTTCTGGGTTATTGTATTGTTAAAAAAAAAAAAAAATCAAAATTATTTAGAAGGAAGCTTGTTTTCAGGAAACTGTTAACCACAGAGTGTAGAAGTTAAATAAGCCTAACTTTGAAAAACAATTTTTTTTTAAAAAATACAACGTGGTTTTTACACTTGGCCTAGTCCGTATCTATATGCTTTTTTAATTATAGAGTTCAAATAAAACTGCGAATTTATCAAATAGCAGCATCTCAGATGCAGAGTCTCAAAACATATGGAAGAATTTAAGACAATATTATTAGACTGGTAAATGTGAACAACAACTCTGAGTTTTTTTTCTTTTTTAAATGGAATTTAGGTAGTCTGGAGGTGACAATTCATAAAACCAAAGAGGCTGAACACAACAAAACCTGGGAATTAGAAGTACTTGATTGACTGCAATATCTAACTTACATTTTTCTCACTCCTTCAATGATCTCTGTTGTGATTAGCAATAAAACCCACATGCAGAAAAAGCATAAAACTCCCACGGTTGCATGTACAGATTTGAATAGGAAAACAGATGAGAAAGAGAAAACAGCACAAAGGGAGTTTGCCCAACCCGCAGCTAGTCCATGTTAACTAAAAAGAGGCATGTTCAACCCAGCCTTGTAAAAAACGAGTGAGGTATGGATGCTCAGTGGCAAAAATAACCTCTGAAATGTGTCTCCTGCTTATTCCAAGAGATTAGCTGTGATCGAACCCCGAGCGCACAGCCGGGCAGCGGACCATCCTGTGCAGACTGTACGTAAGGGATGCCTCCTTGGAAGACATCGTCTCTCGTAGCTAGCGGCCCAGGGCACTGATGAGCCCACGATTGATAACCGGCATAATCAGATTTATATGTGAAAGTTTGATACAGTTCGATAGTATGGAGGCAAGATGGGAAGGAGGGTTTTTGTCAGAAACTTAATTCTGTATTTCTTCTCTAACCGATTGTAAGAGAGCGCTGCCAGGCGTCGCTGCTCAGGTGTCTGAGCCGAGGACTTGCTGGTACCTGGCTTCCCAATATTCGTCATCACCATCACAACAACACTCTTGTAATTACTGCACCATTACTACTTACAGATTGGTGCTGCTTTTACCGGGCAAATAGGATAGAACAGACTATTGCAGTTGGAAGGGA